GGACGGGATTACGGGGACGCTCAAGTGGCAGCCGCCCTACGACGCGCCCAGCGCCCCGCTGGTACGTACGCCGCCGCCGCCGCCGCCGCCTCTGATTTTCATACAACAATCAAAAACAACCAACCAGAGTATTGATGCGCTTCTTAGCGGCGCAAACATGCGGTTTTGATAGTGAACCTCACCCGAACCTCATGGCGTCCGTCTCCCCCCCCCCGCCCCCCTCCCGGCAGACGTACGCCATCCACGTGCGCGACGTGATCCGCAAAGAGGAGCGAGACTACAAGCTGACGAGCAGCAACAACACGGTGGAGTTCCTGCTGAGCGGCCTGGAGCCGGCCGGCCGCTACGCCGTCTCTGTGCGCCTCCGCAACATGAGCAAAGAGGCGGGCTTCACGCTCAGCACAGGTGCGCCGTGCACGAGCGCCATCGCACTTATTTTCCTCCAGATTTGCATGTGCGCGCGTTTCCCGCATCGAAGGCGCGAACGTGTGTGACGCGTTTATTTTACGCTGCACTCTGATGTCATGTGAGTGCTGAGAGACTTGACGTCTCCGCCCCGTCACTTCCTGCGAGCTGCTTCTCACAGACGCTTGTCCCCCCCCCTCCCCACCCACCCCTTCGGCGGGATTTCTGTTTCCCCCCCGGAGGACCGTGAGACTCTAACGAGGAGAAACAACAGATCCCATTATTGAACAAAGTCTGCCCCGAACAGAAAGAAGGTTCACTACAGACCCGGATAGCCGAGTGCATGGCTGATCGTCCTCTCTGACCTTTCTTGGCTCTGGGTTGGGGAATAAAAACCGTGAGCTCCTGCGCGTTCGCAGGGTTACGAGGTGCACGTGTACGACAGCGTCACCAACCAGACGTCCCGCCTGGGCAACACCACGGAGACGTACTTCCGCATCGGCAGCCTGCTGCTGGGACACAACTACACCTTCTCGGTGCAGGCGCGCTGCCTCCTCAGCGGCCAGCTGTGTGGCGAGCCGGCCCTGCTGCTCTACAACCAGCTGGCGGCGGGTAGGGGGCGCACACGCGCACACGGTTTGGTCTTTGAGATGAACCGGCTCCAAGAGGTCCAAGCTTTCGGGTGTTGGAGGGCCCCCCCGCGTACGAGGAGAGGTCCATCTCTGTACTGTGGACTTGCTTTACCTTTCTCTGTCTCCCTGGTGTCCAGGGGCCAGCGGCGCGTCCCGCAGCGAGGGCCGCACGGGGGACGTGGCGGCGGTGGTGGTGCCGGTCCTCTTCCTGCTGCTGCTGGGGGTGTGCGGCGGCCTGGTGGCGCTCTACCTGCGGCACCGCCGGCTGCAGAACAACTTCACCGCCTTCGCCAACTCCCACTACAACTCGCGCCTGGGCTCCGCCATCTTCTCCTCTGGGGACGAGCTGGGTGAGTTCGGTCAGGTTTCGGTAGTTAGCTGTTAGCTGCTAGCTGCTAGCTGCTCGCTGCTCCAGCATCCCGTCTAAAATGTCTGCGTCTCCCCAGGCGACGACGACGAAGATGCTCCCATGATCAGCGGCTTCTCGGACGACGTTCCAATGGTCATCGCGTAGCGAGACGCCCCCCCCTTCTGTTACCTGTTTCTCGCTCCTTGCTCCCCCCGACTCCCCCCCACCCACCCCCCCGCTGGACGAAGCGAAGTGGAAACCGGCGGCAAACTTCGCCCATTAGCAGGAAACATGAAGACAAAAAAGAGAAAGATATTTTTCAAAATACAATGCACTGTTTTGTGGACGCGCAATAACTTATTTTTTATAATGTTAAGCATATATATATATATAAATATATATATATATATATGTATAAAGGGTCAAAACAAAAGGACTGCGAGGAAGAAGTGGACTCTGAAGCAAAGTGAAGGAGTCGAGTTTGTCGGGATGGAGACCCTGTCTGTAAACTCGCCGTCCAATCAGAGCGTCCATTGCTTGAAGCCAAAATGCATCCAGAAACTGGAATATACTGTAGAATGCAAAAAACCACACAAACACACATAGGGGAAAATATATATGTATAAAGAGAAAGGCTGTATACAACATGTCCAAATAGACGATAATGGTCACATATTTGGGCTTAGGTACTATTGCAGAATACGCCGGCTTGGGCCGGTTAGATGAGCTGACCGTGCAATCGCGTTCCATCTTTCACATAATCTGAATTTTTTCCATTTCAATGGTTCTTCGTAAAGTCTGTTGAGGGGTCGACCCTCCGGCCCCGCGTAGAGACCTCATAGATCTTTATTGTCCACCACCAGCACACTGTTGTATGTCCATACGTAGAGGCCACACACGGTACGAGAATATTCCCCCTCGCCGCGCTGCTCACCGGATTTGTAGATACCGGCTTTTACTAATGAGTCCTCCCCTTGCTGCACCGCGTCATTCTGTCAAAATGTGTTTTTAAATCCGTCAGGACCACGAATTAAAGTCCCTCAGCATTTTTGCCATAGTTGTAGTCGTAGAGGAAGTGGGTTCTCAGGGAACTGTGTCGGAGCGGTCACCAGCGCACCACCACCACCACCACCACCAACACCACCACCACCACCACCACCACGGCTTAGGCAGCACCGCCCATCCGCCTGTGTTGAATCCGTTTGTGTCTAGAAAAATCATTTAAAGGGATAACTCAATTAAAATCACACGTCACCGTGTTTTTAAGTAGCCAGTAGTCGTGTCTGGTGACGCCGAGGTTTTTACACGTGTCTCGATATCTTAACAGCGACTTCTTTTTCCAGAAATTTGTTGGCCCGAGACGTTCGCTAACTAACGTACGAGGCCGGCCGGCCGGTTGCAGTTGTTAGGAAGCTGACCAGGAGCATGCTAGTTATCTGGTTTAATGCTAGCACGAGCCAGCTACGAGCGCCAAACCAGGTCAAGCGACCAACAAATACAAACATACATTTGAAAGTATAGCTAGCTAGTAGCATGCTAGTTATCTGGTTTAGTGCTAGCGCGAGCCAGCTACGAGCGCCAAACCAGATTAAGCGACCAACAAATACAAACATACATTTGAAAGTATAGCTAGCTAGTAGCATGCTAGTTATCTGGTTTAGTGCTAGCGCGAGCCAGCTACGAGCGCCAAACCAGATTAAGCGACCAACAAATACAAACATACATTTGAAGTATAGCTAGCTAGTAGCATGCTAGTTATCTGGTTTAGTGCTAGCATGAGTCAGCTACGAGCGCCACCTAGTTGGCTAGAAATCAAGCTAATCAAGCTATCATAAAAAAATGCATTTTAAAAGTAGGCCTGCTAGCCAGTAGCATGCTACATTAGCTTGATGACGAACAAGACATTTCATTTCCATGTCAGAGTTCATCAAAACAAACATTTTCTTCATCTAATCAGCTGCTTTTCTCCCTCTCGTAGTTGCCTTGTTTTGTCCGACAACAATTCAAAGCGGAAAAATATTCTATTTCATAAAACTAGCGTATTGGCCAGTGTTGGTGTTTCGTCAATCTTGCCAATCAATCTCGTCAATCTCAATCATTTGAGTGATGACTCAATAATAAAATCCCCAAAGTAGCAATATATTTGCTGTAATCCAGTTGATTAAAAGTCCTCTGTCAACTTTTCTGGAAAAAGATGTCTCTGTTGATTTTAATTTTATATTTTCATGCCGTGAGATTGCATCTCAACTCTGCTGCACGTGTATTCGTGCGGAGGTTCTTAAACTCTGTCGCTGCGACGACCACGCGCTGAAACGCCGGTAAAACGTGCAATTCTTTTTGCAATTAGGATTGTCCTTTTAACTCCAGTTAGTGGTACCAGTTGTATGTACAGAAGAGACTGTTGCACGTAAATGTATGATCACAAAAAAAAGGAATTTGGGGATAATCATGTTGTTCTGACTCCGTACTGTAGTCCATTAACTGATATTTTGTGTTTCGGTTTGAGCCGGTTTGGTGTTCTGCTTTCTCTCGTCTTCATGAATGTATTTTATACCTGTACTGTCCCAGCTCATTATGCTACTGCCCACCTGTGAAGTTAGTGCACCCCCCTCTGGTCTCCCCCCTGGTTTGGTTGTTACAGCCCGAAGCCCCACATCACAAACCCACAGCAGCAGAACGTTCCTGTTTTCGTTCATCTTCTCATTCTGACTCCGGATCAATGAGGACGTTCTTGGTTTCCTCAAGTCTGGTTTTCTTAAAGGCCTTAACAGCTGATTCTTTTCATGGCATTAATGCTGTTTGATTTTTTATTTTTTAGCTGTGTGGAGTTTCTGTTTTGCCACATATTGCCTTATTAGAACACATTGGGTTTGTATGTGATGTGCTGTTTGTATGATAGAACACGGAGGCTGGGGAGGAGGTTACCGTTTGGGCATTGGGTTCATTTGTCAGATCACTGCTCTTTCATGGCTGCTTTTACGCGAGCCTCTTTGTCTCTTTCCATTCAGGTTTTACTCGTGTACAAAGTTTAATTATTGGTTATTATGTGGCCGTTCGTTCCCCACTTGTCTTAAGTAGTTTGCTTCGAAATGTTGTGTGGCACAGAGTTTGATCCTTTTGGCCACATCGGAAGATATAAATGTCCCGCTTGCTTGTCTCGGAGGTTGCAAGAACAACGAGACGTTTGGAGAGACAGTGTGAGGCGTTTTTAAAAAACACTTGTACTGAAATAAACTTCCTGAAAATCAAACCGCGCCGTCCCTTTCTTTCTCCCCGTAAAGTCAAATATCTATGCAGAAATGTTGTGCATGAACATTTGAACTTAAAGTTAAAGTACAGCCTCAAGTACCTCATTGCTTTAATACATTTTAAAATGTCACAATATAAAACCGTAAACTAAAATCATAAAGGCGTTATTGTAGTACGTATGTACTGTGTGCGCGTGTGCCAGATGCCGCCACCAGGGGGCAGGAAGTGACCGGTCACATCAGGTGATCAGTCTGGTTGTTTGTTAGGACAATAAAACAATCACACAAATGGGTCAAATAGGAAAATGTCATATATATGTATACACATGTTGACATGTACACAATTACGTATACACATAAATACACATACATTATTTCACATGTCTATATGAAAGTAACGATTATGGGTTAAACTGCACACACGCATGAACAACAACAGTCTTCCACTCTCCACAGGTCACAAGGTTGGTTCAGAGGTTCCTCACTTTCTGATTGGCGGGGTCAAAGGTCAACCGAGTGGAGGCAGACATCAAGAGGTCAAGAACAGGTGGACGCCCCCGTGAGTGAGTGAGTGAGTGAGTGAGTGAGTGAGTGTGTGTGTGTGTGTGTGTGTGTGTGTGTGTGTGTGTGTGTGTGTGTGTGTGACAGACACAACAACAGAGAGGAGTTGCAGCACCAGGAGGATCCAAAGCCTCAGAGGGTCCTCAGAGATCCGCTGAAGGACCATCATCATCTTCATCACGGTGGAGGAGGGTCATGTGGTCACTTCCTGTCCACTACTCTCAGGGAAGATGGTGTTTGTTTCCGTCATGTTCCGGCTCTGCAGCCGTGACCCCCGCTGACCTGTGTTGTGACAGGTGTGTTCTCCAGCACATCTGCACTGCAGGAAAGGGCTCTGATTGGACCAGAGGACTTTTTCTCTCCTCAGACTCATGTGTTCCTGTATTTATGTAACATGGAGATATTTTCAGGCGTTATTGGACTTTTTAAGTGGTAAGAAAACTTCGAGGAGTAAACCTTTGTAAGATATTGTGCAGCTTCAGATTCAGATTTGAACTGTTTCAATCATAGTTTTCAATCTAATTACATTTAGCATTCAATAGAGAAACTTCAAATTGAATTACTTGTATAGTATATATATATATATATATATACTATACATCTCCCCTTAACGATCATAAGGATGGAGCACACACCACTGTAGATCAGTGTTACTAAAAACTAGTAATTAGTTACTTATTTAAAGGTAATTTAATTACTTACCAGTTACTGTATATCAAAAGTAATTAGTTACTCGACATAAAAGTAACTTAACTTTTAAGTTACTTTTATGTCTGCTAACTGTCTAGCTAATACTTAACTTAATAGAAAATAACTGTGTCATTCACCTGAAGGCAACTGACTCGACAGGTGACAGGATGCATCTCACCTTCCACATCCAGCTGTAGCTCAGCTTTGCTTGTCAGCATCCGCAGCGCTGTCGTCTCAACAGGTGCTTCATAAGATGTGGATATCCTCTTTGCACCTGCACATCATCTACAACTCACCACCACGTTTTCGTCTTTAATTTTGACGAGCGAAAAGTAATGTCCATCGCCGAAAAAAGACCGGAAATCCCACAAATGATCGTTTTCAGTCAATGGGAGCTTTTGCTTCGGGACGATTAAGGTCATGAGCGATGTGAGTGAATGACGTCGTGGGAGATCTTGCAAGGAGACCCAATGCCGTTTACATGCACATACAGGGACTATTTTTCTCTACACAACGTTTGGTGGCTACAACTATTTACTTGCTATTGGCCGACCCTCAATAATAATTATTACAATAATGCATTACGTTGTAACGGGTCACTCCCACACTGCTGCAGGTAGAGATGTAGGACGCAGACTCCCCAGCTGCAGACCATCGTGTGGGTGTGAGTGTCTGTGTGCGTGTGTCTTTGTCTCTGTGTGTCCGTGTGTCATCGTGGTGGCGTCTGACTTACACGTCTTTGTGCGTGCAGATATTCTCATTTCCATCCGCAGTGTGAGAATACACCTCCCCCCCCCCCCCCTCCTTACACCCGGGGGCCCTCCTTTGATCCCCTCCAAGCTCTGTCCTCAGAACAAGGGCCCCGGACATGAAGGGACACATTTGTCCTCGGCCCCTGCGCCGTGCTTCTCTGCGCTATTGTTCCTTGAGCCTACTGTTAATATCCGTTTCAAATCTGCTTACTTTCAGATTCCATCAATACGGGCGGGACGTACAAAGAGAGGCCTATGCCCCCCCCCCTCCCCCACCCGCCCCGCCCCCGTCCGAAGGGCCGGAAGAAAAGGATGCGAACAGAGGTCGTCAGTGTGTTCCTTGACTCGGCTCACAATGGCGGCAGTGTGAGCTGCGGCGCGATGATGGACGGACGGAATTAAACAAACAAAAGGTCGACAGGAAGTGAAGTGATTTAGTTGATAGGATTTTGGTGGTGGGGGGCGTGTGTGTGGGGGGGAGGGGAGTACGGTGGATCGTGTCTCTTCTCAATGGTCAGGAGGACAGGAAGTGGTGCTGAGGAGACGCTGGGGGACAGGAAGTGGTGCTGAGGAGATGCTGGAGGACAGGAAGTGGTGCTGAGGAGACGCTGGGGGACAGGAAGTGGTGCTGAGGAGACGCTGGGGGACAGGAAGTGGTGCTGAGGTGACGCTGGGGGACAGGAAGTGGTGCTGAGGAGACCGGAAGTGGTGCTGAGGAGAGGCTGGGGGACAGGAAGTGGTGCTGAGGAGACGCTGGGGGACAGGAAGTGGTGCTGAGGAGACGCTGGGGACGGCCCCCTCCCCCTCAGCCCAGTCTGGGGAGGCTGCCCGGTCCCTCTGAATGCAGCCTGGGAGCAGCGCTGCCAGCTGGCCATGACTTACTGAATGACATGATAAATTAAACCTGAGATTCTTATCGAGTTTATTAAAACAGGGTTTCAGATCCAGATGAAACATGAAGGTCAGAGGTCACAGTTAATTGATAAAGTCTGATATTCAAAATATTGTATTTATTTAGCTTCTGTGGAATCTAGTTGAGCATGGTTGAAAAAAGGGACAAAATATACAATTTACAATATTTACAATAATACACAATAATTTACAATATAAAATTTCGCGTTGTGTGTTGGTGAATATTGGGCTTTATTTTTCTTTATCTATTCTTTTTATAATTAAGTGAACCATAAGGAAATAGGGTTAAGCTTATTGACTTAAATTAGAATAAATAAAATAATGTGCATACTGTTGGGACCTTAGTATTATGAGGTGTATAAGAACTATTCTTACATATAAAACAACATCGTTCTGGCTATAAAGCCAGTGAGTCTCTCACAAAGACGCCCAAAATGTCTCCTCCTCATCCTGGAGGAGAAAAATGGCCAAATAAAAAAAGCTTTTATTTCAGTCAAGCTTCACAGTAAAAGAGGTTTAAGTAAATTGTTCTTCATTTTAAGCTCAAAGATCGAAGCAACGTGGTTTTGAAGTTGTGATTAAATCAGGTTTCGAAGCGATTCGTTGTCGGTGGAACTCAGCGTCAGACAGGAAGTTCAGGGACGCCACACGAAACGCGTGACATAGTTAATCACATCTTCAGCATTTTTCAATTCAGGGAAACACAATCAGACGAAAGCTTCACACTGCGCCAGTGTGCGTCTGGCCCACTACCCTGCGGGTAGAGGTTTGTTCATTTGACGGTACAAACCGCTCGCCTCTCCTCACGCGGCCTCGCGATCAGACCCTCGGGCTCACGGGACGGAAGGCCGTCTGTCCCAGCGACAGCGCAACAGGCCTCCGCGGCTTCCAGAGAAGCCCGCCGCTCAGTGGGCGTGTGACTTAAGATGGCCGCCTCGCTGCGAGGGTTTAAGAGAGGCCACCGACCCGCCCCCCCTCACCCCCCTCACCCCATCTCGCTGTTGTCTGGTCCTATATGATGAAAATGAAATACAATGAGTCCTACAGGGCTCCATTCTCGGGAATTAGGAATCAGGAACATTTATTACCAAAATATGTCGGACATACAAGGAATTTGGTTTGGCGGTTGGTGCGTGACGTCAGACCGTAAGTCAATGGGCAACAAGACGGATGAGCAACATGGTGCAAGAGTCTTCTGTTCAGAATCTTCGAAATCTTAGAATCTTGATTATTACATCATTGTTTTTTTCCTCCACCTTTACATGACTTGGAATAACTACTGAAACCTTAATAATAAAAAGAAAGGAGTAAAATGTTGTGATATGATGTTTTTAAGAAGTATTTTCCATGTGTCACATGCTGGTTGTGCAAAACAAATTACCTCTTCACAATTTAAGCTCATTAAGTTTTATTTTCGTTGACAATTCAAAAGCATGCTAATTAGCAGTCATTTCTGGCCTCTGTGTATAAATTAGCACATTTCTGTGTGTGGCCTTCAGATGTTGGGTCTCTCCGTGTCATTCTGTCACATTGCCCAGAAAGATTGCTTTGTTTCACCTAATTTGGTGGAATAATCATTAATTAAAATGGAATGTGTGCCACCCGTGTCTGTCAACTGTGGAGAAAATAATATTAATAATCTGCCACCTAAATCTTCGTTCCACAAACCTCTGATAGCTAATTAGAAAGTGGACACAATATCTTATTCTGATGGCGCTTTAAAAACGTTTCAGCCATCTTCTCCTTAACGAGGAAAATGGCTTCTCGAACAGAGACGACTTTGTCAGTTCGGTACAAAGAGGGAAATTAATTAAGTAATTAAGAATTAAGAAATAAAGACTTACAAATAAGAGAGTCCACAAACAGGAGGGTACAAAAGGACCCTTCTGCAGGTCATGGGTGGAAAAAAACTGAATCAGACAAACTAATCAGAGAACAAGAGACAGGTGAGCTGAAAGCTGATTGGTGGATGAAACAAAGGGAGTAGAGCAGAGATTATGAGGCTGAATACACGCAGGTCTATCCATCCATCTTCAAAGCCGCTTATCCTTCATCCAGGGTTGAGAGGGGCTGGAGTCAATCCCAGC